TAAGAAGAGCATTTGCTTTATAAGGTTGTTGTTATAAAGATCAAACGAGCTAACAATATATGTGAAGCTTTTAGCTCAACAGCTTGACATGTTAAGAAATGATAAAAAAATGTTTTTTTAAAGTGGAAGCTAGTAGTCATCTTTTCATTCAATCAGTCAGTAGATATTTGCACACTTATTGGCCAGCCATTTCTCCTGATGTTCAGGACATAAAAGAGCCCTTGCTGTCCTGGATACTAGTGGCTTCTTAATCATATGTGGCAGGGTGACTGAGAACACACATCATTCAATATATCTGTTCATCTCATTCTACTTGTACCATCAAAGTGGGGAATTACGAAGTATCATGGATCTTGAGAGGAACAGAGCAAACTGACTCGCATAATGTCACCATTTGCCCTTTACTCACATTTGAGCTACATCCAGTTTAGGATATTTGTCACTGGCCCTCTCAGGCTGACATCAGTCTAATCAACAGTGCTTATAGAGTTGGCACCTACAGGGACTTCTGAGCATGCGGTCCATTATGGAAAACACAGGGAAACCACCGGCCTGAGCTTTTTCTGTGGCAGAGAGAATATCGACATGGAAGTCAGGAGACCTGCATATGGATTCAAATTCTAGCTCCACCACTATGGATGGATGTGATCTGGGATGAATTATTTAAGCTTATGAGCCTCCTATGGACACGAGGGCAGCAGTTTTTTTGCACAGCTCCAGCAGTATTTAAAACCCAAATGGGAAGAGCCCAGCTCCATTCGTGGCACATAGGAGGTGTTTGTATTCATGAACAATAGGAGGTGTTTGTATTGATCTTTCTACCCTCTTCGAACTGCAGGTTTTTAATTCTCCATGGTTTCTCTTATATGAGAAACTCAAATTATTAATAAAGAGCAAAATAAAAGATAGATAATAGAAAGTAGGGAGATAGAGCTTTCTCAAAAGAGAGGGGACCAAGAGATGGAGGGAGAGCAGAGATGGGGAAAGAAAGGGGATGAAAAAAGGAACTGAGATGTGTTATGTACCTGTACCCACTCCACAGAGGAATGTAAATATTATGTACTGCAAACACGTACTGATAAAAAAGGGGGAAAAAAAGGAAATTCTCCATGGGTTTGGGTGAGTTGATGCCATGCCAACTCCTCACAACAAGGGAAATCACAAAAAGCACTTCACAAAGGCCAGATTTGAACTAGATCTGCTCTATTCAGAGCAAAAGTTAACACAAACAAGGGTTTCTACTGAAAGCCTCTACCTAGCTGGGAGTATTCAAGCTGGATTGAAGCACTGAACCAGGAATACCAATCCAGGCATTCTTACTCTATTCCCACCCAACACCTATGCCAGACGTGGCTGCAGATCGCAGTACTCTTCCTCACTGTGCTCCCTGCAGTCTCAGAAACAAATCTCCCGTCACCTTGAGCTACGTCCCTTGGTGAAACTTTGCCATCCACATTTTTTATACATCAATTCTTGTGATTTATTCTTTGAAATATATGCCTATGTTTCTTGATCTAAGTAAATAACTGGACGTCCTAACACTAGCCTCATGTGACAAAGTTAGGAATACAAATTTCCCCTTCCAGCTTCAATTCTAGTAAAATACCCGCAAAAGTTTCCGTTGTGTGATTAATTAAAGGAGGCAGGGGTATGAACAGACAAAAGTTACTTAAAGTAAATTACATAACAGACTACTATACTTCATGTGTTATACATTACTTCTTTTAATCTCAAGAATCCTCTAAATTTAACAGCGGTCTTTCCATTTTACATAAAGGCCCAACACAAAGGCAATGGAAATGGTGTGCCCAAGGTTACATGTCCATGGGTGGATGGTCGACTTGCCACCAGGTCTCAGACTCAAAAGCCAAAGCTCCTACTCCTCTAGCAAACATCAACACATGGAAAAGATTACTTATGTGGAGGTTGCTAAAAGTACAAGACCTTGACCACTCTCTTGTCTTCAGTCAACTCCTCACACACCCAAATGGCATTACATGCTCTTCCATTGGTACTGATCTCAATATGACTTTAAAAAACCTCTTTGATAACTTTTCAACAACCATGTAAATAGGTGTGACGTATCGTTGGCTTTCTGTAAATCCCTGATGCTAAATTTGGTTCATAGAGCAAGTTAAAAAAGATATAAAGCCCCTTTTCTACAACTCTGGGGCAGAAATCCATGAGGGGAAACCAGCATAATCTGGCCCAAATCCTGAGGAAAATGAGACATTTCTAACAGCCACCCAGACAATAAGAACCAGGGTAAAAGGACTTATGCCCAAACCATAACAATCATGTTAGCTCCCTGCACCTGCATAGCATTTTATAATTTGCTCTTTTACAGACCGTATTTCTTGGATTCTTACCACCAAGCTGTGAGGTTTTGTAGATGAAGAAACAGACACTGGGAAGCTACAGGAACTGCAGTTTACATGGCCGAGGAAGAAAGGCATTCTCATTAACCCAAGCTTCTCCATATTGGAAATACTCTATTCACAGGCTCCATCTTCCCTTTCTTGCTTTTGTTCTTTCTTCCACCTTCTTTCCCTTCCCACCTTCTTACTCCCTCTGTCCTCCACCCAGGATATGCATGGTTTATGGCTCCAGGATGCCCTATCCTCTCCATCTTTCTCTTTCCATGGCACTTCTACCTCCTTGGACATTTGTTCCTCTCTCTCACTGGTAGCCTTCTCTGTTTTGCTTCTCGTTTCTTTTTCTTCACCCTGGATCTTCCTTAGAGGCTCACCCAGTGACGATGAACCTTTAGAGCTTTCAATAACAGACTGCTGCAGCACAGGTGCCATAGCTTTGCTGCTAAGTGTAGCCTCTCTCATTGCAGCTGGTTGTCCTCATCTCATTGGATGCCCTAATGCGGTGTGGCCATTCACCAGGAGCTCAGCTGCTCCCAGTGAGACACAGATGGGGTGGGAGTGGGAAACAGTCTCCAGCTCGTGCCATGTTTCTCCTTGCTGTTCCCTGTTCCTGTTATCCTTCTTGTTATAGGATGATGGGGGTTGTAAGAATATGGGAACAACATCTTTTAAAACCAGTAATATAAAAGGGAAGACAAAACCTATGAGCCTGTGGTCCCAACTAATCCCATGGGCAACATCAGTACTCACAGTAGGTACTCAGTGAACAGTGTCAAAGTTAGCAGCCTCAGTGCAGAGGTGGCAAACCCAGTGCCCAAACCTGTGTGTTGCAGCAGGCCCTATAACCAAAAGCTCTGAAAGGTTTGCCATCACTGATACAGTGGTTGGAGCAAGGTCTTCAGAGGCAGGCAGGAATAGAATTGAATCTGAGCTGTACTACTTCCCAGCAATGGAGACCTGAGGAAGCCTTATCAACCAGCTCAGGTTCAGTTTTCTCATCTAGAATATGGAGATCATAATGCCTGTCGCTGAAGTTGTACATTCATTCATTTGGCTGATGTTCATTAAGCATCAACTTCATACGAAGCTATTTCTTTCTAGGTGCTAAGGATACAAAGATGAAGACAAAGCCCCCTAGAAAGAGAGAGAGAGAGAGAGAGAGAGAGAGAGAGAGAGAGAGAGAGAGAGAGAGAGAGAAACTCACTATTTGTTAAACCAAAGAAAGCCATTAGCAAAGAGGTTCCCAAACTTTACTTCACATTAAAATCACCTGGGGAGCTTTTTAAATTCCTCTTGCCCCGGTCACACTCCATATCAATTAAATTAGAGAGTCTAGTGGCGGTAACCAGGCATCAGAATTTGTTAAAAATCCCCAAGTGATTCTAATGTGCATACTTTGGAACCTACAGTGCTAGCAGAAAACACTCCCTAGACAGATTGCTGCCTCTGCCTAAACCATCTCAGCTGTAGCATGTATCTCTCAGTCACTCTAACAAAGGCTGGGCAATTCCAAGCAAATAAATATTAAATTAGCAACTAACAGGGTAATGTGATTTAAAGAAGAAACAATCCGCATTGATTCATTGATTTAGATAAATGTGTTTGGGTTTTCTTTGTCCACAATACATCAGACACCCCCATCCCAATGCCTGTGAATCAATTCCATGACAGAATCCCCCCAAAAGCCTCTTCATTCAGACTCTGCTGCTAAACTCTTTCTCAAATATGGGTAAACCTTCAGTTTCTTAGCTTTAACATTGTTTGCATGTGAGCATCAGGAGCCACTGCCTTAGACTACTGATTTCTGTATATACTATGTCTTGTCTGTTGAGGAGATTCTTTAATTCCTAAAGGAGATCTGAGTTAATGGTGTTGAGAATAAGGAGTAGACTCTTAGAGCCCTAATTTAAGAGACTGCCACCTTTCTATTCTCAACATTAGAACTGGATCAGGTGTGACTTAGTCCTTCTAGCTAACAAAAGCTTTAGAGCTATTACTGAAACCTATTACTGAAAACAAATATTTCATATACTTTCTCCTGGCCCACATGAAGCAGGAGATTAGGGTGTGGCCAGCTGGCGGAGCAACTAGGCATGCTGTGTCAATCACACAGATCCAGGACACATGAGCAGAAAATAGTTCCCAAGCCCTGTACCTGGTACCAATCAGAAAGTGCTATCTTCAATTCTTCTGGCACAAAATCAAGCAGGGATTTGATAGGATGGCCTAGATCTGTCATTAGCCTGAAGAATGGAGGGGTGTGAAAGATGTCTGCCAACTTTGTGGCCACTGTGAGTATTCTTGATGGCCTGTTCTCACTCTGCAGAGCGTACTTCTTCTCCTACCTTTAAGAAATGCAGAACCTCACTGTTTTTCATGTGTCTTGTCCAATTCTTTGTTCAGGACACTAATAACCTGGAAAGAATCCCTGAAAAGAGCTTATGGCATCCAGAACCTGGTAACACGAGGAGCCAGTGGTCTTCATGATTCTTAAATCATGTAGCCAGCCCAGGCTTTCAGTCAACACCAGGCTGCAGACTTGACCAAAAGTAGACCTTATCTGAGCACTGTTAGATCTTCAACTGCCAAGGGTATATGCAGGCTTCTTTTGCAGTGCAAACCAACCTGCAAAAGGATGGTGGTTTTATAATGACTTTTCATCAGGTTGTTGATGGATTCAAAGAGCCGTCTCATGGATTCTTCAAATTCCATCTGTTCTTTGCCTTCATAAAGCCTGAAAGAAGACACAGCTGGGTCATTTCCAAAGCCAACAGGCAGTCCCTTTGAAAGCATATACAAGTTACAACCTTCATTAAAATTTAAAAGGAAAGGGGTGAATGAGGCCTTCATGGGGAAAGGAGCTGGTTGGTAATTGTTCAGACTCTGCTGCTAAACTCAGCTTCAGTTTTCTCACCTAGAATCATAATTCACTTGAGAGAAAAGCCTCACATCTTGACCATAATGAACAGACCCCATCCAGTTGGAGAGATATAATAAATCCACCCCCTCATATAATTTTTTTAAATCCTGAAGAACCTCAAAGGAAAGAAATGTAACTTGAAGAAGATTTTGGTCTTTGGATTTTCACAACATCCTAAAAAACACCTAGGAGAAATACAGTGGTACCCTGGTTCATGAACTTAACTCTTTCCAAGACTCTGGGAATCCTGCAATGAGAATCAAAGAAAGAATTAGCCAGAATCATGGAAAGAATTACGTTCGTGAACTGAGGCACCACTGTATCTTTGAGCACACTGCCTCTTCTGCTTAGCCATCGCCTGTTGTCATCCTAACAATGACAGCTTGTTCTATATCAGGTCATTGCTCTCCTACTCTCTCATTTCAGGAACGTACTCATTGCCTCATTCAAATGCACGTTCCTCTGATTATAAAGATCCTATGTTACTATAAAAAATAATGTGAATATAACAGGAATACATAGTTTAGAAAATGAGACTTCTCACTGTTCCGACTAAGCTATTAGCACATGTCAATGTGTATCATCCCAAAGATTTTCAGTGCCTTTCCTAATACACACACGTAATTGACTGGAAACCATCTTTCATATAAAATCAGACTTTGAGTCTTACCAGCTTCTGCCCCCAGCCTTAGGAGTGTTGCTCAGCCCAAGGCTTCTCCAAAGAAGCTTTTATCATCAGCCATGAAATATCCGCAGCCTAATCTGTGGCATCCGGTGTGAAACACACAGAAGAGCACTCCTGTCTCTGACTCAGATAAAGAGAGTCTCTTCTGTCACAGCCCTACATGTCAAAACCTAGTTGGCTTCCTGGGCTTTGGTCAAGGTGCTTTTCTTGGATAAAGCACTGACACTTAACGAGTTTTTCCACTCCTTCAGCCACGGAACAGGCCCCTCATGCTTCCTCACCCCTCCCCTCACTCCCCTTTCCTCCTTCTACTTCCCCTCTGGGTCCTAATTGTCTCTCTGTTTATCATCTTCAGCAAGAATCACTTTCTCTCTATGGTTCTCTATGTTTTTATCTCCCTTTATCGCCCCTCTCTCAATCTCCCTTTCTGAATCCTCTCCCCCTCCCTTTTCCTCACTATCCTCTCTGAAGTCCCCACTCCACCCCATGAGAAGCTCAAGAGAAAGCCAGTCCTGGATATTGCAGGCAGTTACAGGGACCCAGCATTTGCTGCCAATCTTCCAATTGTCTGGTTCAAGGTCACAGAGATAAGGCTGTGAAGAGGAGCCAGAAATCCTGCAGTGGCCTTGGGCCTCAGACTCCTTCACTCACTTCCTCTCCATAGCTCTATCTTGTTTCTTCCTCCTCCCTCCTTCACACAACTCATTCCTGAACTTCCTTGGTCTAAATTCTCACCTCTGCTCTACCTGTAAGAACAGAGCATCACTGTGCCCCCGGTGCTGTTTGGATGGCTATTAGATCCATTTTAAGGACTGATGAGGCCCCTGCCCTAGGACACTACCTCAGGAAGTGTTAGAGGCAGAATTCAAATACAGTCATCCAGCACTATAGCCCCACACTTTGTTCTACAGCTATCAGCTCTCTTAATTTCTACAGACCTTGATTTCTCATCTGTGCAATGTAAGCCATCACAAAACCATGTCAAAGAACTGTGAGGTGACCAGCTTACACATGGAGAGTTAGCACAGTCCTTAGTGAAGTTTAGCAGTTGTCTGTTGTTAATTGTATGGGTAGAACTATTATTGCTGATGTCTCCTCCATCACACATTATAGGAAATAGAAAACTCTCAAGGGGTTGAAAGTTGTTTAAATTCTACCTGGTATAATTTGGGTGAGCTCTGTTCCCCAAGGGATCATATATTTCAACTTGGTCCCCAGTATGGCCATGTGAGAGGTGGTGAGACCTTTGAGAGATGAGGTCACTGCGTTACTGGGGCATGCCCTTGGAAGGGGTTACTGTCATTCTCTTGGGACCTGGTTAGTCTGGCTTCCGGTCTCACCCTGTGATGTCTCTCCTATGCCTGTGCTCTAGCCGTGGTGCCATCCACTATGAGGTCCTCCCTGAACCCAAGCCAATACCAGTGCCTGCAGAACCCTGAGCCAGACAAAACTGCCCAGCCTGAAGTAACCCATCATAGCCACAGAAAACAGACCGATGTACCATCAAAATGGAAAGCTTTGCATCCCATCATGCTTTATCAGACACAGGGAAGACAGAATCTAAACTCAACCTGGTGGTGGTGACTTCCCCATGAGACAAGATTGTTTGTTTCTCTCTTTCTCTGGCCAGTGGGTGGTCCATCCCTTAAGCCTTAGACCTCATAACATCTTACCTTTTGTACTACTTATGGTTGCCTGAAAAAAAAATTTTTTTTGCGGGGGCGTGTTTTGAGATAGGGTCTCACTATGTAGTTGAGACTGATCTGGAACTCACTATGTAGCCCAGGCTGGTCTCAAACTCACAGCGATCCTCCTGCCTCAGCCTCCTAAGTGCTGGGATTACAGGAGTGATCCACCACGCCTGGCTGAAAATGTTTAATAAACTACATCACAATGGCTGTTATAGGTCTGCAGGACAGAATCTGCACACTGTCTTCCACCCGTGTTACCTCCCAGACTATCCTGCCCATGTGTTTACCCAGAGAGGCTCTTCCTGTGGGGTGTCCCCTGTGTATATGCGCATGTTGTGGTGGAGTGGTTCTGACCAGATCATCTTCCTCGGAACCACTGTCATGGTCTCACCAACACTTTTCTGTTGAATGACTTACTCACGCTACCCCCACCCTCCATAACTAAGTGGCCCATGCCACTTCTCTTGTTTCTCTGGAATTTGCCATTTTCAACAGAGAAACATAAGAAGGAGACTTTGTTGGGAGTTATCTAAATGCCAGCACTGCCTGGGGAATGTTTTAAAACTCTCGCTAAAGAGTTGCAGGGGTGATGCCCAGTTACTCTGTACCTGATTAACTCTCTTTGGCTTTTGTAGCTGCACAAGTACCCTTATAGTAAATTCCCTTTCTACTTAGATTAGTCCTGGCTGGTTTTGGTGCAGTGCTTCTCTACTCAGAACTTGGCGAAATGGAGCAAGTTTCTTTCTGCAGCTCCCTGTTGTGGGGTTTGGAATGGGGAGCTCTTGGGAAGTCTAGTAAGCACTCGGTCCACGCTCTCATTGGACAGAAGAAGGCCCAGAGGGTCAGAGTGGGGAAGTGATTTGGCACCACCATTTTAATATCACTTCAAGGTGAGAAGTAAAAGAGGTGTTTAGAATATTATATATATATATATATCTATATCTATCTATCTATCTATATATAATATATATATATATATATAAGCAAACCAAGGCTCTCCACTCAACTGTAAACTTCATAGGAAACTGAATTTTACCATGGGTAAAGTCCATGCTTGAACCAGGACTCAGCATTCTTCTATGCTCTGAGAATATAACAGAAGGCAGATGACATGAATGCCATGGAGCAAAGACCAAGGGCCTGTGCCTCAGTAGGAATCAAATCTCTGTCTCTGTTTGTCATGTTACAAAGTACCTATATGCCACACTCAAATCTGGTAAGAACATACAATGTGCAGTGGCCTAAGATTTATAAAGGACAAAAACAGTGTGTGTGTGTGTGTGTGTGTGTGTGTGTGTACACGTATACATACCTTAAGGATATATATATATATATATACATATATATATATATATACACACACACATATATCTGGTAGATTACATATAGTACATTATATATGTATAGAGTACATTATATATACAGATATACATGCGTTGAAGACAGGAAAGGTTGGGAATGGGAAGAGATGTCAGAGAAGAAAAGCCGTGTAGTGTAAATGGCTTTGCAATGGAGCCGCACTCCTCCATGCACTGGCTGAGTGACCTCAGACAAATCACTTTCCTTAAATCGCTACCATTATTGATAAAACAGAGATATAATACTCACCCAAAGGTTTATTTTGAGGTTAAAAACACGAGATTATGTCTTTCAAAGACTGAATATTTTAGCCACCATTTAATAAGTGCTAAGTAAACACTGGTGATTCTTATCATTGTTGTGGATTGATGATCATAAAAATGTTCCTATTGGCAAAGTCTCCGATCTGAGTGTAAGTAAAGGGACTATTTCAAGTAACAAGAGGCCAAAAAAAAAAAATGGGTTTAATGTAATATGGACGAAATAACTTGATGACAGACTGTAGCCTAACCTGAGAAGTCTGAAGAGCAGAATAACACTTCGTCTCTCTGTGGTGCTTTAAATGTGGCCTTGAAGTCAAGGGCACAGCAGATGCAGCCTCCATGCTCTTTTTAGGGCTAGCTCTCTGTTACAGGTTCAGGAGAGAAACATCTTCTCTGGCCTAGAACTCCTAGAACGATACTTCAGAAAGCAGCTGATTGTGCCAGGGAACAAATTATTGAAGGGCCCTAAGGCCCCGGCCATAAGTAAAACTGGGGCAACCTGCAAGGCACTGTTCTGGTGCATCTGAGTCTGGCCACAGCCGGTGCTCTGGCTCCCAGGGATTGGATAAATACAGCGATGCTGCGCTTGCGTGTGATTCATTAAGGAGACACTGTGCACAGCTGAGCACGCACTAAATGCAAATGGGGCTCCACACGGTGGGACAGTGCTTCCTACCACCTCTTCCATGCAGGTACACAAAGCCTCAGCCCCAAACCGAGATGCCAGCCTCGGGCCAGCAGCCCACGGGAGTGGAATCTAATCAGTGACCATAGACTGTGGAAAGCAAGGGAGAAAACTGACCTTGCATCCAGAGG